AAAAGCAAAGGGCAACACATAAGATGTTGAACGTTTTAAACGACTTCAGAACTATCTGAGCTAAAAGTCGAGCAAAGTTTCATTTCGAAAGTTAGAGTTTGATGATTGAACTTTTTTAATAAATGTGATACAATCCAAGGTTATCGAATAATCTGTCGAATTATTTGATGAATACAGTCGAATGGTCGATTTGATAACTAAAATCACTAATAACTTCTCGACCCTCTGCGTGAGTCGAAAATCTTTTAAGATTTCAAACATTCAATTATCAAAGTTGTCTTGGTGCTTTTGCAAGAAAAAAAAGTCGATAAGTCGAAAAGTCGAAAAGGTTGATTTTTGAGAAAATATTCTCAATCTTTTTCTGATTAACACATTGATCTGATTCTGAGTTTCATGCTTCTTACCTTGCCTTGTAAAGATGCGAGTTTGAAACTTTGCAAGTGCATTGCACCAGATGAAAGCTGCAAGTTCATAACGCGATGTGCCATTAAATAGAGCATTTTTCGCACTTTATAATTGTTGGAAAAATTGAGAAAATTCCATGCATCATGATGATTGAGAATATTTTCTTGAGTCAACATTTTTGTCAGTTTTCTTTGCTTTCCCTTTCCTATTAAATTCATTGTGAAATCGATAATTTATTTGCAATGAAAGATATTTTGCTTGGACAATATTTTTTTAACACAAAACTGAATCATTATTATCCTTTATTTGACACTAACTGTCGTATGAAAGGTGATTTTGTTTGCAACTTTTTTTATCCTTTTTTTCCTTCATCATCTTATTTCATCTGTTATCATCTTCATGCTTTATTCTTAGTGATTCATGTAAGGGAAGGAAGAAAAATGTGATAAAAATAAATGAACCTTCATCTAAATTATGGTGTTATTCATAGATTTCAGGATAAGACCTTGAGAAATACAAACAGACTTAACATGGTTTCAAATCTTGTGAATAGTTCAACATTTTTCTCCCCTGAACAACTTGTAATTAAACGAGTAACCTTGGCTCAGTTTCAAAAGTTTCATTTGATAAACTTTTTCCCTTCCTTTGCTCTTCTTTCGCCTTCCAACTCATCCAGCGAATCAACAATTAATCTAAACTACGTTACAACAATTAAAATTTTTGCGACTAAAAGAGAAGATAATTTTTGCTCAATAATCAACTTTACCTTTGAACATAATTTTCATCAATTCAGTTGTTAAACAAGGAAATGTCCAAAAATTTCATTCTCTAGTTTCATGCTCTTCCAACCACTGAAACTGTTAATGAAATGATCAAGATAATAACAATTATTAACTTAATTGTTTCCTGTGAAAAGATGAATTTCATTTTTTAACATTTACTAAAAGCAAAATCAATATTGAAAGTAAAATTGAAAACTAAATTTCGTTTTTTGTCAAATCTTTTCATCTTTTTTTCCCAAAATTTGCCCAAATTTTGACCAAATGAAATGTGTGATTTTAGTTGAAATGATTAACGATGAGAATAAGGAAAATGATGATGAAGCTGGAATAAAAGATGAACACACAAAAGACTAAAGTTACATCAATTTCAATTGTTCACTCTTTTGGTAATATTACATGTATAACGATTATCATTCCCAGTCTTGTCGAGTCCTTTTCATCTGAATCTTTTCTGTTCGTTGTGAATCATATTCAATGCTCTCAACTTGAATCCCTTTAATTGTATCAAAAGTAACCAACGTCATTTGACTGTAACACCAATCACTGGTCTCATCATCTTCATCTTGTTCATCTTCTTTATCCTCTTCTTCTTCTTCTTCTTCTTCTTCTTCCCTCATCATTCTCATTCTTTTCCTCTCCAAATGTTCCGACTCAGTCTGTGATTCTCTTCAGGATAACCGTTTTAAGAGCTTTCAACATTACCATCTTAATATGATCATAAAAAGAGGATGAAGAGACAGACAGAAAGAAGGATGACAAAAGAGCATGTTTAAGAGGGAAGAGAAGGAAGAAGAAGAAGAAGAGATTTAAAATGGAAATAAATGGAGAAGATGAAAGTGATGAGGAAAAAAATGATTTCAAAGCTAAACTTGTAAACTGGAGCCAAATGAAATTAAAGAGTGATGAATGTTTCACTGTTAAAGGGTGAAATCAAAGGGATGACAAAAAATGATGAAAATTATGTAAAAAAAAGTATCACTTTAAATATTCACATTTGATGGCCTTTTAAAGATGTAATTATGTCAACATTTGCACATTGATATTTGCAATTATAACAAATTGTCTCTTCTGATAATCTAATTACTGCCTTTAAATGGTTTGTTGTCATTTTAATTGTTTCAATAAGTTTGGCAAAGTCAATGTTTTCAACTTTGTAAAATAGTTGATTTCATCTTGCGCTTCACCAAATTGATTTAATTTAATGATTTGCTTTTGTTTCTGTTTAAATTTAAATGGTTTCAACTTTGGATAACCTTTTTGTAACCTTAAATTGAAACCATCAAATTGATTTATCCAAATTTGTATTCACTGATGATCATTTTTAACAACTGATGGTTGCCTTTCAAGATGATGATGATGACTGTAAAAAATGATCTTTTTTTCATTCGTCTCTTTCTGTGCTTTTCTTCCTCTTCTTTTGGGGTAAAACATGTAGGATTGAAACTGATTCAGCACCTCGATATAAAGCTGGATAAAGAGATGATAAATAGCTCGATTCATATCAATCTTTACAGCAAAACTTTGACATGACTTTCAATTTTCCTCTTTTCTCTCTGACTTTTTTTTGCTTCTCTGATGCACAATAATACAACAACAAGAAGATGAACAAGATTGAAAAGGTAAAATATTAAGTTGACAGAGAGAGAGAAAAAGATATGATGGGAATGATGAGAAAGATGCTAAAGATGGTGAAGACTTTTGAAGATGCTGAAAATGCTGAAGGATGTTGAATAGTATTTTTGCTTTTCCTTCAAATTGGTTCAATCTAAATTGTTACATCACTTGTATTAAACATTTTGCCTTTTCTTTTTCTTCTTCTTTTTTTGTTCATCTTCTTGTCTCACTTTCTCATGAGAGTCAAATGTCATGAGTGACTGTCCATAGAGATGAATCTCTTGATTCACATATTCTGAAGAATGAGTTAAATAATGTTTGATTGAGAGATGAGAAGGGGAAAGAAAGTGAACAAGAATCGAAAATGTTATTCAGATGAAAAATCGGATGTTTCGACTTTTATCATCATCATCTTCTTCTTCTTCTTTTTTCTTCATCCTATTCTTGTTTGCTTTTTGAGCGACACAAGAATATCGATTTATATTGATCATTTAAATAATGATGCCTTTTGTTGGATACAAGAAAAGGATAACTGTCATTAACCAATTTAATTTATGTTGCATGTTATCTGTAAGTCTGTCAATGAGACAATACAAATGAGAAACAATCAAATCTCTTTGCTTTCACGTTCAACTGTGATTGTTTTCATAGCCTACAGACAATCGACAGACATTGTTTACATGGTAGAGTTAATTGTCCACCGAATAAAATAATCGATAAGAAAATATTCCAAATTCAAGTTCTGAGTTTTTCATTTGAATGAAACATTGAAGCTGCTTTACGAGTCAGTCTACGGGATGAAAGAGGCCAGCCATGGATCAAGGTTAACCTGACTGGTTGCTTGTCAAGGTTGAGCTTCACATCCAAGAGTCAGATTGACTGATGAAGCAAATGATTTAAAAGCAAATTTACAATTCATTTCAACTGTTCGAATCTGAGTTTGACCTGAACCAGAAATGGGAGCAAACAAGATCAATGTTAGACCAAAAGATGATCAGGAAAGGAAACAAAGGAACTTTCCATGATTTTCTTATTCTATTCTCTGTTATTTTTACTCTTTTCTCTTTACATCTTTCCAATCATTCTCTCTTACTTTCCCCAATTTTTCTTCACCATCTTCATCTTCATCATCATACTTTTTGACTTTACCGTTACCGTTATAAGCTAATCTATCCTAACCAGTGTTTCCAATGTTGCCAAACTGTTTATATCATCTTCATGTCTGGTTACAAGAAGATGATGATGATGATGATGAAGAAAAAGTAAGCTACACAGAATAATGTTTGCGCAAAATCTTTACTTTTTTTCATCTTTTACTTCATCTTCAACAATTCTGATTCCCATGCTCATGAAAGATAGAGAGAGAAGAGGAGAGAGAATGATTCAAGTCAATCTAAATCTGGAAGTGTTCCTTAGATGTGCGATCGCATTTCTTACGATTCCTTGTGGCATCCAAATCACCACTAAATATAGTTTTGTATACCATGAAAAGGGAAACATGGTGAGTGGAAAAAAAAGATTCAAGGAAAAACAGTGAAAGCAAGAGATAGAGAGAGAGAGAGAAAGTGAATGGAAAAGTGAACTTTTATCAAGTCAAAGTTATCCTGAAAAGTTACCTTCCAATAGTGTGTGTTGAGCGTATTTACAGTTGGAAACCTTTTCTTTTTATTTTTGCACTTCACCATCTAAAGGACAAAATGTTTGATCCCAGTTTATCACCATCTTCATCATCACCAAGTTGCCTCCTTTCCAACCTCATCCTGAACCGACTCTCTCAGCCCAGAATACACACACAAAACTCACACTCCCAGTGATAGTTGACTCTGATTCGGAACTTGACAATCACAATGAACAACAATCAACTGCAACAGTCAACAATATCAAACTAAAATTTTGACAAGTTTAACAAATCAGTAAACACTTTCAACTTGCTCCTCTAATTGTCATCAACATCAACCTTAATACGAGTGAATTTAAAATTCAAGTGTTTACAGAAAAGTGTTTTTCCATGTTAAACCAAGTGCTTCCAATAATTCATCATCACGATAGCAACAATGATTACAGTTATCATTGATGGATATAATGATGAAAATTGTCGTTTCTTTTGGTGTTCATTTCAGTTGAACTTCAACTGTTCGTATTGCATTTCTGACGGATCTTCCCTGTTGATGGATAATGAGATGATAAAATGTTGGTAAACAAACGTTGGCAGAAAACAAATGATGAGTTGCACTTTTAACTTTGCTGTTGTCATCAGTTTGGTCAGTCTAATGGTCAACCTATTGAAGGTAAAAAAAATATAGATGAACCTCTTGTTTCGTTTACTTTTGTTTCTTGTTTGCTTGTTACTTTTAATCTTTCCTGTTTCAGTTTCAGTTCAACTGAACTTAAATTGGATTTTATTGGATTCATTTCTGGCTATTGAACTGTGTTCATCTGATGAAACAAGAAATGTTTTAAAGAGACTAAAGTAAAAGGTCAGATGTGCTGTTGATGGTTAATGTTAATGGATAGTAAATCAAAGTTGGCCAGTGTCTTCAGTTAAGATAAATTGACTTGGAAATTATTGATGAATCCTTTTGATATTAACTCATCAACAGCATCAATTTTAACCCATTATTAATTAATATCCAGTTTTGCACGATGAAACATTGATCATGATTAGACAATAATCAGAGTAAATGTATTTTTGTGTGTGTTTTAATGTGAAAAGGTTAACATTGAAAGCTGTGGCCTTAATAATGTGATAATCAAAACAAGGGATTGAACCAGGATAAAGGATGGAAAGTGATGAGCTTGAAAATGATGGAAAAGTTGAAAGAAGGGAAAAACTGATGATTAAAGAGGGTTGGATGTTTAATGATGTTGGATGATAAAGGATTGCTCGCAAGAAGATGAGAAGAGAAAAGAGGAATCTTTAGATTCTGTAAGGTTGACTGGTTAGCAAAGGCCTACAAGAATAATGAACAAGTATGAATGATGTGAATGGTTGAACGTAATTGTCTGAGCAAGAGATGAGATGAATTGAAGATGAAACAAAAAAAAGAGAAGAGAGAATGTAGAAAGGAAAGAAAGAGTAAAGATGAAGATGAAGAATCTGTTGGGAAATTGATATAACAGTTGATGAAAGTTGCCTTCTTTTTTTGGACCTTTTTCATGAGAATTGGAAGGAAAAGTTTCACAGACACAATCATCATGATAATGACGAAGATGAAGATGAGGAAAAAGTCGTAAAAAGTCGTTTTGGGTTCATCAATTGAATAACAATGGATTGACAGTTGCGACAATCTTTTACCAATTGACTTTTAATTGTGTCGCCATATTTTGCCTTTTTGACTTGTTCACCTAAATCATTATTGCTTTCATCTTTAGTTGGTTGAATCCGGGCCAAATTGATTTTGTTTAAGCACAGAATTATTAAATAATATTTGGTCCCCTTCAACCAGCTGTAGATAAGCATTCAGTCAACATCTTGCTTGGTTATTGATTGGTAAATACTAAATGATATGAGCAGCAGCAAACAACTTGATTTATCATTTTTTCACATTTTTCCCTTTTTCCTTGCTTTTACCAGTTTTTTTTGTGTGTGTCTTCAGCTTAATGTGTAATATCAATTTTTGTAGCAACTCTCTTAGGATATGTAATGATCACGCAATGTGAAAATGTATAATTAGCATTTGATAATAATCATTATCTTTGTATTTTAGGTGTGAAATGTAAGATCACATTTAACCTTGTTTTTCATGTTGCCAGTCTCATGTTTGTGATTAACTTTTATTTGGTCATTTGGGTTTGATCAATCTTTTCTGGTAAACTTGCTTGTCTTTTCTGGTTTTTGTTATCATTGGTTGGCTTTATCTGGATGGAGTTGCCAGTTTGGAGTAGCAAATGGTTGCGATTGAAAAATAGCGATTTACTTTGGTCGATTAGCCTTAATTTGCTTAATTCATCATTACTCTGATTAACTACAATTATTTTGCCTACACTTTATTGCATCGATTAGTAAATCTATTGATTAAGTTAAACTTTCAATTAGATGCTTTTGTCCAGTTTCATTCAATTAACCAGAAAAAAATAATCTGGTCCAAGGTGAGTAACTCAACATTAAACCTTTTCTCTGTGTTTTTGCCAGGTTTCCTCTTTCAGGTCAAGTTTAAGTTCAATTACTAATCAAATAAATTGATCAACAATTGAATTACAAATTAATTAAATGATTCAAATGATTAACAATCACAACTTAATAATCTAAACCTGAGTTCAACTGCAATAACATTAAACTTGACTTTAAACAATAAAACTTTAAATTGGTAATCATTTCATTTTTAGGTTCATTTTAGGTTCCATTTTAGGTTCAATTGCGGATGGAATGGAATCATCTTTAAATTAAGTTCAAGGAAATAAATTGTTGGTTCAACATTGAAGTCAACTTTGGTTGTAAATTGGATGCTCAAGTGTGCGAAACCAGAAATCAAAGTGTTGCCATTCCTGAAGAGGTGGAAGTTGTTGAAAATTATTTTAAGAAATGATTGAAACTTGGCTTGATAAGCATATTATTTCCATGATTATATCAATTGTGATTAAAGTTATCTTAAGAACGTCCTTTATCATCAACTTTTCCATGAAAGTTATTCACAGAATTGCTTTTAGTTTCATTTCAATGTTTGCTTTGCTGACTTTTTCCTTCTGTCACTGATTTACACTTTTCTTTGCATAAGCTACTTAAAAAATTATCATGCAGTTGACAACAGCTTGTGGCTCGGAATAATTTCAAGCTTAAATGAGTCCTTGATACAATATTTAAATACAATGGGTTAACACACATCACTCTTTGCTCTCCAATGGATCCATTTTCATCTTAACTGGTTAGAGCGTTTCCATCCACAGCAATCAAAATAAATGTTTACTTAAATGTACACCTTTGAAGAGTAAAGGTTTCTTTCATGATAAAATTAGACTTGATCCAGTTGTTTGCCATAGTTTTTGCAACCTAATATATTTATAAAATTGTTGGGTTGATTGAAAGGTAGAGTATTAATATACATGTTTATAAATATAATAAATATGGCAGTTAATTAATAGAGAGAGAGAGAGTAAATGTTGAGAAGCGTAATTAATTGACTTACTGAGAGAGGGAATTTAAGATGCAAATGGAATGATTAGTGAAGGTGAAGAAAGGTTATTCAAGTGTGTTCATTATCTTTAATCAAGTTTATACTCCCAGATTGGATTGGCTGATGCAATCAATAGGAAGTTGATTGAAACAGAAGAAGAACTGAAGCTAAATTCCGGTCTAAGCTTAATACATAAAGAGTGTTCACAGAGGCAAACGGATTTCCTTTCAAAGCTATTCACATTCAATCAGGGTTTATAGTGAACAGTTTAATGCCAAACTATTCATTCTGCGAAATCCTAATCATGATGGTGACGGTGATAGGTAAACATGACAACGATTCACACTGACAATTTCATTATTTTCATATATAAACAGGTTTAATCATTCATCGAGAATTGCATTACAATTTTTGCTCGCCATCCATCAGGTCAACTTGGAATCTTTTTTATCCAATTCAGTTTAATAAGCGCGTAAAGTTTAAAGGTAATCAAAATTAAAGACTGATTTTATTCGGTTTATAATTCATTTATTCCGGTCAGTTTGATTACATTAAAGGAAATTGAAAGTCTTAACTGGGTGATAAAAAATTGGTTTTAGGGGTTAATAGAGAAGTTAAATGAAGACCATTCCTTGGCAAAATAGACAAGTAAGTTTTCATCATTATTATTGCATATTTTCATAAGATTTCATTAGTTTGGATTTTTAATATTTTTTATTCCAATTTAGAGGCTAATCTCAACGCTTCTGGAAGAAACGTTTCTACCATGCTGGATACAAGATTGGGCAATTCTTTGACACCTAAATTTTATCGTTCAAAACCAAAAACTAATAAACTGAGTAAAAAAATAAAATTTCGGATGATATCGATAGATCAGTAAATCAGTAAACTAGTAAACTATTAGAAGTTTCAGAATGACTGATTTTGATATAAAAGTTTATCCGGAGGCACCATAAATGAAGATGACGAAGATTGTGATCATATTGACGAGCTACTATCTTCAATAGTCCATAAAATTGAGTCAGGAAATGAAAAATCAATGGATGGCTGGGATAATGAAGACATTTGGAAGGACGAAAAGCGCTTGATAAAGATACAGAACTACTGCAAACCAGAAATAATGAAGATAATTGGTTAGATGCCTAATCAAGACCGACTAATAAAGCTGATTTGTTAAGTCAAAGTCAATTTTGAGTACCAAAAATATCCAATCTCGTGATCGTGTTGAAACAAAGGAATCGAGAAGGAATGGTCAAGAAGATAAAAGAGACCAAGACTTAAAAAGGTCAAACAAAAAAGGTCCGATGAGTTAGCAGCACAGAAAATCACTTACCAAGATTACAATATGTAATCTATGTAATACTTTATATATTGAAGGATAATTTAATTTACCAATAGTCAACGTATTGAGAAATAGATTAAATTCATTTGAATACAAGAAAATATTATAATTATATTTTGTGGGATTGAGTGTTACAATATTGATGCTGTTGCTATTTGTTTTCAACTCTTTTGTCTAGGAAAAGAAAGTTTACGTTCTGATCAATTGTATTCGGTCTCAAATTGCTAGCCATCGTTTTAATCGATTCAATCGTATGATAAAATATACGTGAATCACCGAATCAACAAAATCCAGTTTCTTTTTAATCTTTGCAGATATCAAGTTGGTAATCCCGTCTGACAGTCGGTCTGATGTTTGATGAAGCTTTCAATGGTCGTTTAATCAGGAATTTGTTACCTTTGACAGCTTGCTTGTCGTTGTCAATTTGTCTTTTCGAAGTAGCACCCTTATCTTTTGTACCCTCTCGTTTATTAGCTTCATAGCCCAATGACTCGTCTTGCGAATTAGATTCCTCAGAACATTCAGGTGGAATACGTTTGATGCAAGCCTTTTTCACTGAATTACGGATTATCATCTCTGCTTCTTCTGCTGATGAAGAGTCTGGCGTCACTCTCTTTTTGAAATTTATTTTTTCGTGGTTTCTTAAACATTTTAAAATATCTAACAACCCAATTGAAAACGAAACACTAATAATTAACTGAATCTAATTATCACATGTAGCAACATGAGAAATGTCAACAAACAAACATATGGTAAGACAAATAGGATCAGATCTTGGAGTCGATATGTATCTACTGGTGGTAAAGGTATTCAGTGAATTCACTTTTCAATTGACATCAGCGTTTAAAGCCTAGATCAAAGTTTTTTTTTCTCATTGTTAAGTTTATTTTTTTTGATTAAAGTTTGAATTATATTGCATAAAATGTGGTCATTTCGGTCGAGAAACCCAACTAAAGATTCTCCCATGATCTAGAAGAAATTTATTTGTAGACATCTAGGAATCAATATGGACAATCCAGAAGAAAAAGAAAAAGGTTTGTATGCTGTAATTACAGAAATGTTGATACTTTGTTTTTGTGATGGTGGCAATCACTAAATAACATATCAATACTATAGTAATGGACTTAATTCACGTATTCCTTATTTAAATATTTTCTTTCCTTTAGGGCTCTAAATAGAGAAGCTGTTACAATTGTCCGATTTCAATGTAAACCAGGAATGGAACATTTATTGGATGAAGTTCCAGCTAAATCAGCTTTGAAACGAATCAAAACACTTACGACATCCGTCTTTTTTAACTTATGTTGACTCACTCGAAAAAGATGGAATAGTTTCTATTGTTACTGAACCAGATGAACCTCTTCGTTCATATCTCGAATCAGCAGAAAACTTTATTGGAAAATTGAAGGTCTGATCTAAGAAAGCCTTCGTCCTACAATTACCAACCAGCTTTGTAATCGTGAAAATATGCACGAATGCTCTGTTCTGTGTCAATCAACTATGGCCCAAGATAAGTTCAGCCTGTAATCGAGCCTTCAAAGTTTTAAAGGATTTAAAATATGATCTCAACGCTTCTGGAAAACGACGTCTCTCCAACACTAGACAACAGAAAATTAGTAAACTAGTAGAAGCCCTGAATTCACAAATTCTGAATCAGCAGTTCATCAATTTTTTTTGCAAAAACTGTACAAGAAAAATGTGACCTTTCTACCTAGACTCACTTTTGAAATAGAGAATTTTAATTTTTCCAATTTTAATTTGATCTTTTATAAACACTCCAACGATTGTTTATTTATCAACTTTTGACTGGTTATATTAAAATAATCACCAGCTATTCCAAAAAATCGCGAGACTACTGTATTGAGAGTAAATAAGAAGTTTCATTAAAGGAAGATAACGATGGTTGGGATCCTATTGACGAGCCACTATCTTCAACAGTCCATAAAACTGAGCTAAAAAATAAAAAATCAACGGATGGCTGGGATAATGGTGACGATTGAAATGATGACGAAGTGATTGATAGGGAAATTACTTCTGCAGACGTTCAAACCTGAAAATAATGAAGAAAATTGGTTAGATACCCAATTAAGACCGAATAATAAAGCTGATTCAGGAAATTCAAGTTGGCGTACCAAAAATATTCAATCTCGTGATCGTGCTAAAACAGAGCAGTATAATAATCAAGATTTTTGTCGAAATTAGAGAGCAATCAAGATTAGAAGCAAATCAAAAAACCAGAAAACCAAAAACTAATATTGAAACGTAAATTACAAAAAAAAACAAAATGGGTCCAATGAAGTGTAAGAAAATTCCTTGAAATGCACAATGAATTGCCTTGTTGGAATAATAAATGTAGTTTTCTACTCATAATCTATAATTTGAGACAGTCAATTCGGTTTGCTCATGAAATTTTCGGAATGCAAATTCATGTTCCTACGACCTCAAACAGTTCAACCTAAACCATCCTTATTATAATATGTAGTCTTTGTAATGTTCAGATATTGAAAGACAGTTTAATTTACGAATAATCAATGTATTGAGAGATTGGCTAAAAAACATTGGAATACAAAAAATGATCATGTTTGAACAGATTAAGTACATGCATTTAAAATTACTCTTAAATCACCTTCGTTTAGATTGAGTATATTTTGTTTCCTTGATGGTCATAAGTGACAAATCGATTGAATATCGTTCTCTTTTCCCTTTAATACTAAGCCCCAGAATTGCTTAGAAACTACAATCTGTCATTGTCAATAGATTACAGGCTCCATCTTTTAATTTGATTGGAACGCGACTCAATCAGATCATTCAATTCAGAATCTGAATTTCAGATAACTGTAGAGCTGCCCTCTTTGTTTTCCTAGTGTAATTTTATCAGAGTAGTGAGCTACAGCGCCTCTATTTTTTACAACATAAACGCCTACAATTTACACTTTGACTTAAAATCTGACATTTCCTTTTTATTTGTTGTTTTTGTTTATTTGTTGTGACTATTTCGCGATGTCTACCACACCGGCCACTACACCAAGTGATGACAAGCAAGAAAAGAGACTCGATGAGTCCCTTGGTAATGTGAAAATTCAATCATTCCACATGAAATGTTGTTTGGATAGAGGTAAATTGATGGAAGCTCTCAAGCATGCATCAAATATGATAACTGAATTGAGGACTAATCAACTGAGCCCAAAATCATATTATGAACTATACATGGCTGTTTGTGATCAGCTCAGGCACATGGAAATGTACCTGCTAGATGAATTTAACCGAGGTCGTAAACTGGCTGACCTTTATGAGCTGGTTCAATATGCTGGCAATATAATTCCCCGGTTGTATCTTCTGATCACAGTTGGTTTGGTTTACATGAAAACAACCCCTGGAAGTCGGCGTGATATTTTGAAGGACTTGGTTGAAATGTGTCGGGGCGTTCAACACCCTTTACGTGGTCTTTTCCTCCGAAATTATCTTTTACAATCTTGCAGAAACATTCTTCCAGATGTAACAGTCGAAGAAATTGCCGGAGATGGTGATGGAAAAGAAGAGCATTCAGGGACCATCGAAGATTCTATTGAATTTATTTTATTGAACTTTGCTGAGATGAATAAGCTTTGGGTTAGAATGCAGCATCAGGGACACACACGAGATAAGGATCGACGTGAAAAGGAACGTCTTGAATTGAGACTCCTTGTTGGGACTAATCTTGTAAGACTGTCTCAGCTGGAAAGCATCGACATTGAAAGATACAAAAATGTTGTTTTGCCTGGTATCTTAGAGCAAGTGGTCTCATGTCGTGATGGAATTGCCCAAGAATATCTAATGGAATGTTTAATTCAAGTGTTTCCTGATGAATTTCATCTCACAACATTACAACCTTTTCTTCATTCCTGTGCAAAGCTAGTTCCTTCAGTTAATGTTAAAAATATTATCATTGCTCTGATTGATCGCCTTGCTCTATCTAAAGACATCGACTTACCTGATGACCTATTTGACATATTTTCTTCCCAAATATCTAACATAATCCAATCAAGACCTGATATGATATTAGAAGATATAATTTCAATGGAAGGATCATTGATTAACTTTACTATTAAAAAGATTAATGCTGAATCAAAAAGAGAAGAAAGTATCGATTCTGTTCTGCAATCAACTCTAAATGTTATCAAAGAGAAATGCAATAAAGCGCGGATACAGTATCGTACCAATATTGGTAAAGAATTACTCAAATTTTTAAAGCTACCTATAACTCATGGTACTCAAGATGGTCAGACTTCTGGTATTGCACCAATTAAGATGTCACTTAAGTTGAAAGTTTTCAAAAATCTGTTGAAGGATGTAACTGATTTGGAGCTACAAAAGCAAATTACTCTGTCCTTGTTGAATTCAGCATTAGACTCTGGAATCGAGGATAAAATTATTGAAGAAAACCGGTTGACTTTGGAGGAGATTGAAATCTTTTTAAGTGAGCTCTGTGAGCCGCTCGTCAAAGGTGCAGCCCCTGAAGAGCTCGATGGAATGTTAGATGAAGATTTTGTTGATGAGCAATTACTGCTTTCTCGTTTTATTCATTATTTACTTTCACCAATTTGTGTAGCAGAAGATGATCTTGACTTCAAATATCTAATAATTTCATCGTGCAAAAAGATTCTCGCTCCTGGAGGAGCGAAAAGAGTGCGTTTTACGTTCCCAGCATTGGTATTCGAATCTTTGGATCTTGCTCTGAAATACTCTAAACGAGGGTCCGAGGAAGATGCTAAATGGGATAAAAAGTGCACCAAAATTTATCAATTTGTTAATCAAACAATCTCAGCTTTGAACGAGAGTAACTGTCCGGATATATGTCTCCGTTTGTACCTACAAGCAGCGCTGAATGCCAGTAAAGTTGGTTTAAAAACCTGTGAAACACTTGCTGATGAGTTTGTTACAAAAGCTGTTTCAATATATGAGGAAGAGATCTGTGAAACAAAGGAAAGATTTTCATCTTTGATCTTAATTATCGGTGCCATCAAAGAGATTGACTTTAAATCAGCTGAACTCAAACAACCATTTGCTTCACAAATGCCACTTCTTGCGTCTAAATTAATTCAAAAACCTAACCAAGTGCGAGCAATTTTAAGTTCAAGTCTATTATTTTGTGATGACTCAACAATTTCACCAGAGGCCATTAAATGCATTAAAAAATGTGTCAAAATAGCCTCATCAATGATGGATAATGACCTGAAATTACAATTATACATTGAGATATTAGCTCACATAACATTATTGGTTAGTCAGGAAAATCAAGAGTTATTGGAACAAATGAAGGACCTAAATGAAAAGATTTTAGAACAAAAAAATGAAGTGATATTATCTGAATCACTTGAAAAACAATACAATGCAACGTTAAACTTCTTGCAAAGTCAAAATATCTCACTAGATAAATGAACATTTAATCATTATCTGATAATCAAGCACAAATGATGGTAATTAAAGTGACTCGCCCTTTTTTGTATCACACGCAAATTGTTGTTCCAAATGTATTTCTTCGTCTTTTAAATCATAAATTTCAAAAATCAGCTTTAACATTATTCAATAAAATAATAAAATTAAGAAGGGTTGTCAACAAAAGGTTTAATTTGTTCGTTTAAATTGTGCTTAAATTAATCGTTCAAATGCTTATTTTGGTCTGAGTCCACCAAAAGGATATTGAAAATTGTCTGGGTCATTATAAATTCCTCTGATTTGATTGAGATACATCGGACCAAATTGATCGTAATAGAGATTTGGTGATGCCTTGGCTCTTACAGCAGACGCACCTTGGATCCATTTTGACCTAGCAAAGCTTTCTTTGGTATCACGATTAATGGTTGGATGGTTGAATGATAGTTTAACCAATTTGGATTCACCTGTTGAACGGCCTTCTGCAGAGTTGTAGTAATCAACATTCGATGCCCATTTTGAGTATGACGGATTAGCATTATATCTTGTATAAATACTTTTCAGCACATCTTGAATTCCAGATGAACCCGAAAACTGTCTCTTAGCAGTTTTCATTTTTAGACCGTCATCATCAGATGAAATATAATATTTAGTGATAAATTCACTAATCAATATTAAAAATCCAATTCCGATTCCACAAGCAAGAAACAAATAGATACCAATCATGTGAACCACATCAATCTTTTTCACATCCCCAGCATGGATAATTAATGGATACATACAGTCATTTCCTGGTGTTTGATACCATAACCTCCAATAAATCGCGATACCTGCTCGAGTTAGCAAAGTCATTCTGAAAATAGGAGCATAAATCAATTATTTGGTCTTTCATTGCAATGATTTCATAAAAATTGATTTGAAAATTTTCCAACTTACTGTCGATTCAACTCTTTCAACAGTGATGGTGGAAAGGCATCTTTTCTAGCTACCATGTGAATAGGAGTATGATAAACAGCGTCTCTAGCTACATGCATGCCACAGACGCCAGTTCTCGTGTATTCAGTTGAAACCCAATAGCGAGCTTCATATTCCGTCATCAAATAACCCAATGAACCACTGGAAATTTCATCAAAGATCTTATACTTGTCCTTTTCAAAATCATAATAACTCATTTTATCCCGAAGAAGAGATAACTCCGAGTATTCCAAGATTTGAATCATTTCATGAAGTGCTCCAGAGGCTGCGGCTCCAGCTGAGACTCCCCAGGTATTTGCAAGATCTTCTGCATTCTGGATGGGTTGAATAATCTTTGGAAATGTCAACAAGGCAACCAGATTACCAGAATAAGTTGTCACCGTAACAATTACAAAAAGCCACCAAGTGGCAATCAATACTCTTCCAGAGATTGCTTGAGGCAGTATGTCACCTCCTTGTTGGACCATCGCTCCATAACAATACCAAACGCAATTGGATAACTTGAAAAAACCTTTACCATCATTAAGCCCATAATAATCATAATAGATTGATGAACGGTGGACTGTCCATAAAACAGGACCAATAACAATCATTGTTAAAATTACGCAAATCCAAGTCTGTTGAAGATGGATATTAGAGAAACTTAGATTGACTGAACAAATTGATAGAGTTAATTAAAGTATGAACTTACCCCAAGAGTGAAAGGACATATGAAGAGGAATTTTTCATCTTCAGGCTGCTTCTTGACAACCAACGAAACAATATCGACATCATAGGCGGACAAGAATTCAAATGCAGATGACTTGATTCGTGAAGGTGTTTGCCAGATACCATTGGCTGCTAAATCAACCTTTCCTTCGGCTAATTTTCCCAATAATCCATCCCAACCTTCATCTGAAATTGAATCGCCAATTTTATCATCTTTCGCATCTGACCAGCAAACATATTCAATGGTAAAGTTCATTCTAGAAGAAATGATTGTCAACAATTCAATGGTAGTTCCATTTACGACGCATTTACCATCAATTAACTCAACATTGACAAGAGGCCGTTGGTTAACAACTCCAACTTTGTACACTTGACCTCCACCATTAACAATGTCAACTGGTATTGGATCACTAGATTGGATCAATCCTTTAAAAGGTGTCCATTCACCAGTTCGAGTTATTTTTATTCCACTTTCAAAATCATCATCAAACTGTGTTTGCGACCAATGAGAAGTTGAATAAGGTTTGCGTTTATACTTTATTGACTCTCCAATGATGGCCTTTTCAAACATTTGCAATGAGTATCGATCACAATTGCCGCAATAACGACTAGAGACCGACTCATCTGAACCCAACTGTAATCTCATTTCAGTCAATAATCTATTTCGAGTTCGTCTCTTCATGTCTACATCAGTAAAATCATAGTCTGCCGTTAGTGCAACTTTACGTAAAGTAGATTTCAATGTTTCAACAGCTAATCTGAATTGACATCCTTCAGACATTTCACTGCATCGTCCATATTCCGACTCTTCCCTTATTACAATCGCTGTCTGTGTTGTTGCCAAAATTGGACTCAATTGAGACCAATAAGCTGGATCCTCTTGATTATCACTGAAAATGAATATCCATTTACGAGGAGATCCAAGCAGCGATCTTGAATGAGCCTGAAAGTTGTTCAGTTAACAAATGACTTGTTACTATTAGTGGAACATAAATCCTGAAATTGACTTACCAGTTTAATTATCTCTTTAATATGTTTACTGTGAGCTATTACAATAAAATATTTATGCTCATCAGTGATATGATCAACAACCTGTGCTTTCAAATCCAATGTGTCCGTCTTTACATTTTCATATGAAAATAAGGTTACTTGAGAGTCATTGATGTCCCGATAGTCTGAAGTGATTTCAATCTTATTTTTCAAGCTTAGTCCGATATGGTAGGATGTTACAGTTGATGGCATAATTTCAGGACCATGGACTGCACTCAGGCCATCCACAAGATCATGAAGAGCCATAACATCTAATGAGTTTAAGAAAAAAGAAGAGAAAAGATCGATTATCTATTAACTGCTGTAATCGTGGATAAGTACAAACCAATCGTGTCATCATGGATTAAGTTAATATGATCCCATTTTCGCAAGAAATCATGCCTCATATCAATTAACATGGGAACAACATGATCAACTGATGATAAAATTGGAAAACCAATTCCTTGATCACGACTGGGTCTGATACAATTACGATCATGGATGGCAATGATTAGGGTTGATGAACAATGATCACGAATCAAAGAGTAAAGTGATTTAGTAAGCGAACAAGGTAAAACCGATATCAAACCAATGTACTTGTTACCTGGGAAAGTAAAAAAATGGTCAAAAATTATCTTTTCTGGTTTTCTACTTACAATTTCTGGGTTCTCCATCGACCAAAGCATCAAAATCTGAATCGCCGTCGATCAGATCAACTTTAATTGTTATATTGTCGATTGAAAAACTTTCAATTTCACCAATCAAATGGAATAAGGTTTCATTTCGAATTGCTTTGGAAATTTCATCGTCGTATTTGATTAGAATACCTAAAACAGTGAAGGATTAAACACAATGAATGGAAGCAACAATTTAGATAAAGATACCAACCTAAATTAATCACTTGTTCAGAGTCATCCTTATTTGATTGGCATGAAACTGGTGACAATAAAATATAAATCAAGAAAAACAAATGGTTGATCATTTTCAATAGGTCCAACGATTAATCACGATCAGACAATGTTTTACTTCGGTTGTCTTAAGATTTTATCAAGTCAGTTTTTTGAATATGTCATGGCACATCTTTCATTGATTGTATGATATTACAATCAATAAAGTAATTTTCAGCAATAGCTTTTAATATTGGTCAAATGGCAAGAAATATTGACTGATGATATTACTTGTTTTTCATTCCTAATGTTTTTAATATTTTTAAAGTCATGTCCTTGTTAGATGATCCAATGATATATTGATTTTTTGACCAACATTTAGAAAAGTATTTTTTGTTGTATTAATAATATTAAACTGTATATTCATGTAAGATCTTGATATAATTTAATGTAACGAAATGAATCTTAAATTAAGAGAGTTGGGAAAGTCAGTTAAAAGTTTAAGAGCAAGTCTACTAAAGTTTCAGCATGTACGTGGTAATACCTGTAATTTATTTTAACTACTGATTATCGATTTTAACTTACGAATTTTATTTGACATTTAAAGTTTATACAAAATTATGTTTTCAACATTAGTGTTAATATAAAGATAAAATATTGAAAAACTAAGCATTTAACCAAACCAAATCAAATTGGCTAACAAATAGACAATTGAATTTAAAGACTGATGGGCCTCACTGACAATTGTGAGTTAACTATTAATTACTGCATATTTATGAGTTGAAATGAATGAGCAAGCCCAGAAATGCCGATCAGTTAATTTAATCGATAAAATTAATTTATAAATTCTTTGTTTATTAAAAGATAAATTACAACAATGATTATTGAATTGATCGATTGTTGATTTTCAACATGTTTTACCGTGATAGCGATTATTAAAATAACAGTATAAATTTTGAATGGCTTATTTCATGACTGGCATGGAAGTGTTTGCTTCAAACCCAGTGACATCAGATTTCCTCCACAATTGAGTAATTGTTTTTGTCTCGGTGTAGAAATTGATTCCCATTTGTCCCATAAAGTGGTTTTCACCATGGAATGAGCCTCGAGTACCGGTAAATGAGAATACTGAGAGAGGAACTGGAATTGGAACATTAACTCCGATTTGGCCAACATCAATTTCGTGGGTGAATCTACGAGCAGTAGCTCCATTTCGAGTGAATATTGCAGTTCCATTACCGTAAGGATTGGAGTTAATTAATTCGATTGCCTCATCAAGAGTATCAACAGTCAAAATGATTAAAACAGGACCAAAAATTTCTTCTTTGTAACATTTCATTGAAGTTTTAACATCAGTCAATATAGTAGGACCGATAAAGTTACCCTTTTCAAAACCTGGAACTTTAACACCACGTCCATCAAGAATTAATTTGGCACCTTCTTGAACTCCACTATCGACCAAAGAGCAAATCTTTTCTTTTGCTTGAGGAGAAATAACTGGTCCAATATCAGCTCCATCAATGTGACCAGCATTCACCTTTAATTTATTTGCTCTAGGAATGAGTTCTGGTATCCATTTGGCTGATTCGCCGACAAAAATAACTGTAGATAATGCCATACATCGTTGACCTGCAGCCCCAAATGCAGCTCCAGCAATTTGATTCAAGGTGTCTTCTTTATTGGCATCTGGCATAACAACACCATGGTTTTTGGCACCCATATTAGATTGAACCCGTTTACCATTAGCAGCACCACGAGAATAGATATGTTTACCCGCAGTATCAGCTCCAACAAATGAGATCGCTTTAATGGTTGGATTATCACAGATGAAATTGACGGCATCGTGTTGGCCGTGGAAAACATTTACAACTCCAGGAGGAACACCAGCTTCATTCAAAAGCTCCATAAGCATCATAGTAGCACCTGGTATTCGTTCTGAAGGTTTGAGTACAAAAGTATTTCCAGCAGCAATAGCTAAGGGAAACATCCACAAAGGAATCATGGCAGGGAAATTGAATGGAGTAATACCAGCACATACTCCTAATGGAATACGATAGCTGAATGTATCCATATCTTTAGCAACCGATTCAAAACTTTGTCCCATCAATAGACTAGGCGCTGCACAAGCAAGCTCAATTACTTGTAAGCCTCGGAATACATCACCTTCAGCGTCAGCTTTTGTTTTACCCTGTTCTTCAGTTACAATGGCGGCCAATCTTTTCTGTCATTATAATTAAATTATTGAACATACATTTAGAAACGTGAGTGCCAGGTTTAATGCAAAACTTTTGGAATTATTTGAACTCTCAACTCACCATATTGCTTTTAACTAAGTTTTGGTATTTGAACAAGTATTGCTGGCGACTGATTAACGAGGTTTGAGACCAGCTTTTGTAAGCCTCTTTAGCAGCAGCAACAGCATCTTCCATTTCTTGTTGGGTTGATAAAGGCACTTTTGAGATGACTTCATTGGTGGCCTAAGAAGGTAGAAAAATTTTTGGAAATTTAGTAATGAGAATGATAATATAGAAAAGTAAACAGCAGAAGTAATTTTTCTTAACAAATCCATAAGGCCAAGGTGCATTTAAAATAAGATGAAGTAGAAATATCAGGGTATCTGAAGTTGAGTAGAAATGAAAATTATACCCATTCAAGATACTTACGGGATTATGAAGATCAATCCAATTAGAAGATTTAGATTCAACGAATTGTCCATTAATGAAAAGCTTTGTTGTAGACCGGGCAGATGATAAGTTAACTTGTTGGTTGATCATATGGTAATATTGAGTCCTGAGAAATGATTTCATTGTAACAACTTTATTCAAATAAGGAGCCATGTTTTATTTTAAAGAAAACAAGAAGAAACAATGGAAATTAGAGTATACAGTAATTAACTCAGCACAATAAAACAAATGCAACAGAATAAAAGCTTCTGCTTTTCACTTTTTTGACTTTTAACTCAAGGTAAACCAGAGGAGAGGAGATTCTCTTGGTAACAGTTGCATCGTCAAGAGTCTCTATCGGCGATAATGATGACGAAAATGATGGATCTGATATTTGATGATAATCAAATCTAGTTAAATACATAAGTCTTCACTTGTCTAATCATTTATCTAAAGTTGATAAAAAATACCTGTCAATTAGTAGAAAACAGCCATTTTATCAATTTTATATCAGCCTTCGTCTCAATGATTTCACTCAAGAGCCATTGGTTTGCTTCATCTTTTATCTATTTCCTTTAATTGCTATCATATTAATAATCTTTGATACCAATTTCAATATCATGCAGATAATCTTGAATCATATTGAGCAAAGAGTAAAGAAGAAGAGACCGAATGGGTCTTGAGTGAAATCAT